CCGACTAACTGGCCGGCTGGCTGACTGACTACCGCTTGTTGTGTTAGTGTAAGTTTGTTGGCTATCTTTGAATAGAAATTCGCTTGACTGCTGATTCGTTTATAACGTTGATCAGATGATTGCCTTTTTCAAAAAGAGATCTCGAGAGGTTATCGTCGTAGCATTTGGATTTTCTATTTTAGTTATCGGTTCGCACAGAGTGAATGTTTCTCCCCGTTTTAGAATGGTCGAAAAAGTGAATGTATGTTTATAAATATTTTATTTGGAATTCAAGCCAATTGAGCGGACAAACGAAGGAAGAAAACAAAAAGTTAATGATTTGAGTCATTTGGCCCTTTCAAAACAACTGATTCGGCAACGAAAGCATATTTTAGTTGTTGTTTTTATTTGGTCTTGAAAACAATTAAACAGTGCTAAAAAATAGGTTAAATACTCAAAAGTTCCGCTAGAACTTAAAATGTGTTCCGAAACTCATAATAGTCGACACGTGTCGCTAATAGGTTTGAGTCACACAACTACATGTGCACACTGCAAATAAGATCAGAACAATTGCTATTCCACACACACAAACACAGGTTTGGTCACAATGATAGGAACCGAATCTAACCACAATACCGTTTAAATAAAATGTGAAAAACTGTGAAGTAGAAGGATTCTTCTCAAGACATCCATCACATTTGGAACCGATAGTTCTTACGCAAAACTTTTTGCACATGGGAGCTTCTCAACCAGCAACAGCATGTTGATTCAAAATCAATTAAAATTCGTGATTGATTGCCTTCCATTATTTTAATCTACTGTTAAATGGGGCTTCCCCCTACGGTTGGCTCTGATTTTAATCAATTTATTTCTATGCTCGTCCCCTTGGAATATCTTCTTATTTTCGCTTAAACTCATCAAATTAATCTCCAATATTTGTTATATGCGTATCTTTAATCTGTTAGAAAAAGGCGGTCTTGAATATCTTAAAAGACCATTAATAGCAATCAGTTTCCATTTAAAAAGACTGGTTAAGTACAGCCCCACAAACAGATTTGAGTTTTAACCCAAATCTATGCCTACTTCAGAATTAATGACGATTTCACTCGCCATAAATCCCCACATTTTTCGTTTTCTATGATTAATTGCCCTCGAACTGCTCATTTGGTTTACTTCTTGTTCGTTGCTCCCCTGGCATGTTAGGGTCAAGGCTGACACCATGCTTCAGAAAAACAGAAACGAGTTTCTTTTGAATTGTAATCCAAGTAGTCTGAAATAAAAACAACAACACATGCATATTTTGTCTTGTCAGTATCAATACAAATATACATATGTTTCTTTGTTTTTTTTTTTTTTTTGCATTACATCAATGAAAAGCCTCAATTAACCCATTCTTTACCGCCAATACTTTTGTCGATAAAAATTCAATTTATGGGACCAATTTCGCAACCAACATCGAACGTACAGCATATATCAGCATATATCTATGTAATTTGTTAAGACCTACCGTTGTACTTATGGTAAAAATTCAATGGTCTTAAGATCCCGTAAAGTGATATCCCTTATTCTGCATCCCACACCAATACAAAGCGAACTTTGAGTTCCAGTTCGTCCACTGCCTTAGAACATTGCCTAGGCCAAAAGGATTCTATTGAATTTCTTTACATATCAGAATGGATAAAAGCTGGAGAAAAACAGAACAACCATCATATGGGTGGCGTGGCTATAAAAGTTTTTACAGCCACCACGTTTCCAATCAAACACCGGAGCACATCGAAAAATAGACATTTATTATGTTATGCACGAGTGGCAACTGTTTCATGGTATGGCACAACAATTTTCATATTTCTTCCTCGACTGGAATATGTATTACCATGCCCGTGAGAGGATGGCCTGAGCTTAGTATGAAACAAGGTCATATGGCTAAGGGCACACTTTATAGTAACTGTAAACCGTAAGTTTTCGATTCAAAAAAAAAATATGCCACAGCTAGGTTTACCGACTTTTTAGGTCATATTTTGTTTGAACAGAATCGATCCAGAAACATAATTTTTTGCTATTGACTTGGCCATTTATTGGCTGGCCTGTTGGAATGTGTTCGTGAAATTCAATACCAACAATGCACAACCCAAATGTTATTAAGTTCACAAAAACAAATGGAAAACCCATCAAAATTCGTTCAATTCGAACGGTTAATGACCTTGAACGCCTCGTATCACATCGTCGATGTTCTGTTCGAAGCGAGTTTGCCACTTTTGTGCTGACACAGGTGTTCTGTTTAACTGTTCCTCGTCGATGTCTGATATCGTTACGGCCGCTGTTCTGCCATTGTCGCCGTTATTATTTTCTATCCGCATTGGCCAGCAAGCATAAGCGAGCTGTTTGGGTAATAAAATACCGTCTGTTTTCACAGACAAATCGAAAAACTGAACGAAAAGAAGCCAATAAACTTGAAATGCTTCGATTTCAAAAGTACTCCGAAACGTTCGAAAACTAAAAATAGAGAATAACTTGGTTGTTTCTCTGCTGGGCAGGCATTCTAGTGGAAATTTGCCGAAATGCCCAAGGAAAACATCAACACACATTCACACAACAACACCAACAATACAAATGAAAAAAAAAAGAAGCTGGGAACGGTGGAGAATAACATTAAACGGCTATTGATCCAATTCAGAAAAATGAAAAATCCTCATTTTTCTCGGAGAAAATGAAAACCGGTTCTTTCAACTTAACCACATCTTAGGTAACATCTCAATCATATTTTGCCCCGAAACAGCTGCAGCAGCAACAGCCAAGAAACGACAACAGCCTATTAATCATTGCCACCAAAAGACTCTGTCATCCATCCTATGGATCTGAACTAATTGAAAGCATAACCATTCTGAACGCATTTTGATAGGCTTGCTCATTGCTGTCAGCAGTCCAATCAATTTAAAGCTTGCGATGCTTCTGCTTGTGAGCAGAACAAGCTCACTTTTATTAGATTACAATAAAAATTTAAATAATGTGTCATCAAGTGTCACCTCCGGCGCCTTTATAGCATCCGCAGCAGTGGCCATAAAATCAACGGATGGAAAATGTTTCGATGGCAGCCCCTGTATGTTTGGGTGTGTGTGTGTGTGTAGCTGGCAGTCATTCGTATATCATGGAATTGTCCATTTTATTAACATTAATGAGTGCATTTGTGTCGTCACACCGAATCGCAGATAAAATGTTATGCATCTTCTATGGCATCTGCAGCTCTGCCTGGCTCCATCCGTGATGGGCATCTTTCGGCATTCGCGTGCGAAAAAAACTACGGCAACGCTGAATGGATGGATCCTTTGGTCGGTTGCCTGCCTCTTTGCATGGCTGGACATTGGATGGTCGGACATTGTCTTAACACTAAAAGAGTTGTCATGAGCCATGCGTATTTCATGTCATGGCTGTGGGTTTCTTCTTCCCCACATTCTCCACGTTCTGCAATGCTGAGCGCTAATAAATATTGTAATTATTAGCACTTGTAAACGGGCTTTTAATAGACACACTGCGCACAACAAATAAAAACTCTTAACGCACCTCAATTCCTTGTCCGACGCTTTGTTGCTGGATGTTCGGGCTGTGATTTATGGTCTGTAGTGGCCACAATTGCCGCGGATAACAAAATAGTGGCGACATACTCACATTAATTGAGCATTGCATACGCATAATTAAACGCATGTTGGCTCCACATGAAGCACATCCTCCGCAGAGTGTTAGAACGGTGGAACAGGTTTTCCACTTGAGTAGCCGTGGTTGAATGCTTATCGGAACCAAATTGATTAGATTATGTTGTACAAGTCCAACAACGACAACAACCAGGAACAAGGCAATAAGTGGAAGCTTAACCGCCACAATTACTTCCTGAAATGTTGTGATATTCTGATCACTGCAGTTTGATCTTTGAGCGAGTGAGCAGATGAAAGTTGGCTTGTTGAATTAATGACATCGACAACTTTGGAGCACATACTCACGTGAGATGTGACTGATTCTGTAGGAGTGCCCACAGTTCCCATGTGCTTGTTTGGAGATATTTGTGTGTTTGTGTGTGTCATATCCCTCTTGATAAACATTTAACGGAAGTTTCACTTCCAGTCATCGCCATCGTCAGAAAACTAGTTTCTACAGCAAATGTCATGTGTTAAGTGGCATCTCCCAAGGAGTTGCGATCCTATGGCCTCATGTCTTGGCCTCCCACGTATGGTTAATAACATTTTTAATAATTAACTATAACGGAAGGCATTCCGGATTCCATGGCTTCAAGTCATGTCACAAAAGGAAGTTCGAAACGAAACTGGGTTAGCATCGCAAGTATAGATGGATAATGGAGATCATTTGATAACCTTTTTACTTCATTCAGTTATAACTGGCGTCAGCTTGAGAAATTATTAACACAAGTACTAGCTTCGAGATACTTCGGCCGACCGACATACCTACAATGTTGCAAAAATGCGTATCTCTACGTCTAATGCCGTTATGGCTCACGTTCGCACAGACGTCTCATTTGGCTGACTGACTACAATAAAATTTTTGATGGAAAATCTGCATCCAACACAAAGATGCTTGACATCCGAATCTGAATTTCTCACATTACAAAGCGCCAGACAACAGAGTTCGTTGTTGCACAGCGAAGTGTATCGTGGTGTAGTTCTTGTTGTTGTTGCTGTAGTTATTTTTCCCTACACTTTTTTTTTATTGTGGTTGAGCTTTTGTTTCTGGTGCGGTGTGGTCTGGTGCATGTCTTCATCATTAACAACGTCATTGTCTCCGAACACAAAAAAAAAAAAAACACAAAGTTCCATTTAAATGTCAGTCTCGTCATGTCTGTCTTTCACTAGCCGACTGCTCAATCTGGGTCTTCTACGGTCTACTGTGTCATTGGAAGGTATCAAATTAATTTTCTATAGACGAGACAAACAAACTACCGTTGCGCTGACAGCCATGTAAAGATATCAAATGAACGATGAATGTGAAAAGAGAGAGAGAGAGAAAAATTCACACGCTTTCACTGATTTTTACTTTCGTTACTTTCTGCAGCGTTAGTGTCACAGAAAATCAGCCAGCAACGCATTTTATTTAAATAGAATTAACTAATTACAAAAAAGAAACACAAACAACAAAGAAAACATTAACTACTGACCTTATTTCACAATGCCAACAAAAACTGCAAACTGCAAAGAAACGAAAAAAATAAAAGTTTTGTTTATTATTTGCATAAAGTTTTCTGTTTTTTTCGTTTTTTTTTTTTTCAGTAACAAATAAATAATTAAAATTGGGATTTTTAAAGTTAACATCACACATGCTCAAAATGCCCACACGAAGGCAAAGGCATAAGATGGTGAAGACTAGACAAAATGCATTCTGAGAAAAAGGTTTGTGGCTATATTATTCAGAATAAGAGCTCATGACATAGGCATATTAATATAAACAAGTAAAAAAATTAAATTCGGCCGGGCCGAACTTTGAATACCTTCCACCAGGAAACATTTTTATATAAAAGTATCTGAATTCAAGCGTGTTTCACTTTAAACTTCATATACCAGTAAGAGCGTTTGCATAATGCATTTAAATTTATCAAAAAACCATAAAGCGAGTGAGGCCGCTTATACTTCATCTATCAAATATTCTAAAACACCAAATTTGAAACAATTATGTGGGTAAATGTGACTAGGATTATCAAAATACCGAATATCGGTGGGAATAGTTATATTTGCGCTTTAGGAAAACGTAGAACTAAATATTCAATATTTTGTCACCGGGCTAGAACCCATTATAAACTGGAAATACCAACTTTTATCAAAATATCGAATATTGGAAGGTACCGTTGTATGGGTCTATACCAAAACGTGGACCTATACATACGATGTTCCGCCATTTTGGACCACAAATAACAATTTTAAGATAAATTCGTAGGAAATTGTGGCAAAAATCATTAAAATACCGAATATCGGGAGGTACCCTTGTATGGGGGCTACACTAAAACGTGGACCTATACATAAAAAGTTTCACCACACGAGCTAGAACGCATTATAATCTACAAAGACCAATTTATAGACAAATCCGTGAAAAAAGTGGCAAAAATCATCAAAATAACGAATATCGGGAGGTACCCTTGTATTGGATCTATACCAAACCCAAAAATTGCATATTGCCCTAGCTTTAACAATGCTGTTACGATATCATAACAACAGAGATGTTTACACCTGGTGATAACATTTAGACTCCGTCTTGTCCTGTCTTTATACTTCTATGTCTTTGCAGCAAGGTATTTACCTAAATAATCGACAACTCGTGAGCGCATAATTGTACCCTATTCATTTAGAAGGTACCTATATATTTGGGTAAGCTAGATAATGGATTCGAATTGTGAAATTAAAGCTCATTACATTCAAAATGCAGAATTCTTGAGACATTCCGCGACGTTACACGAATTAACAACATTACGTAAACCTAAGGCTCATTCTGCCTCTAACACAACATTTCTTAGGAAATCTATTTTTTGCAAAAAAGAAGTCAGAAGTCAATACTTCAACACAAACCAACGCTTGTGAATAATTAAAGATACTTATTAATTATCGTAGACGAGAATTTACTCACCTATAAAAGCTGTATTATTCAGCTCTGAAGAGTATTTGAATGTACATATATGTATACTTTTATATTACCATTACTGATCAAGCTTTTTTTATACTCTGTGCAAATTTATTATTCTCTAAACTTGAAATAAAACATCAAAACTTGAATTAATGCGGCCTACAGTGGCTAAACAAATTCAAAAAAATAAGTGTGAAGTAGAGAAGTACATGTGTATATATACGATTTTTATTGATCTTCATTTTGTTGTTGTGTAGGAACTCAAACAATGATTTCAATGACATTCTTGAACTTCAATTATTATTTCGAACAAGATACTTGATTTTACACGAGTATTCCCTCCATCCTGCCAATTTATCCCGAGCTAATTTAAAGGGCTTTGTGTCACCATAAAATTGAAACACTATTTGTAGTGATATCTGATTACAGTTCCCAGATTCTTCGCAGATTAGTCATCAACAAATCTATTTAGATTAAAATTTATTTGGTTCATGGCTCGGCTTGGCCTCCAAGGTGCACTTTTCTCATAGGCTTCGTGGAATTGAATAGTCAAACATGCTGTTGATATGTTGACTATTCATTTTCCCCTCATCTCTCAACACTGACGCTGACGCTGACTCGCTGTCTAACAAACTTCCAAGCCGGACTGTGGCTCGTTCGGAACAACATGCCGTAAAACGTGACTGTGGCAAAAACAAATCGTGTACAGATTTTTGTGTTTCATATACAAACTTACATACATACATATGTATGCATAGAGACAAATTCGACTTCTTTAGTTTTGTAGCCGGGTACAGATAGGTTGATAGTCCGGTACATGGTGTAATTACGAATGTTGTGCCGATTTGTAGCCAGCCCAACGAGACTGATGAATGTCGGTGTGGCGATCATTGAAATATCTAAACAATGACAACTATTTTTACGATAGAACCATGGCGAATGAACGAAATCGACAGATACGACAACACCGCCAACTTCATCGCCATTACCAGAGTCACTGTCGTCATCATTATCATCACATAAATCGGCATTGTGTAGCAGATACAACAATTCAAAACTACAAAAACAACGATTTTATTGAATTGTAGCTACGTACATACATAGGTCTGTATGTACAAATGTATGCATGTATATTATATATTTGTGTGTCGTGTCTAATCAAAAAACAAAAACAAATTGAATCAAACATTTGAATGTTGTTGACCAACCGAAAGTATGATCGAGTCTAAAGTTGTTACTGGCTGAGATCAAGGGGTAATGGAGAACACCACCGCCCGGCTAGTCAACAGCAGGAATCGGTTTCTGTTGCTTTAAGCCGGGATGTACGCAACTCAAAAGTTCAACAAATGCAAAAAGCTCATCATCATCACCATCGCCACCACTGTCGCTGTGTTAGTCAGTTCGCTTTTGTGTGATTCAATTGCCTTTTGTTAATGCTTTCCCATGGGCTCAGCTGCGACAACAACAGCAACGATTTATTAAACCCGCCCAAAGTTCATGTGAACTGAAGCGCGTACATCGTGTTCTAGGTGTACGATTAGCTCTGAAGCGAACCGTGTCGCATTGGTTGGATGTTTGTAGTAATTACAATGACACAGTGCTATGACACAATCCAATGGAATACTACCGAGGTTCGGCCAACTAACCGAACCTCTAATTACCCACCTGACACTTTGATCATCGCGAAACGTTCAGATGGTGACGCCTGACATTCATCCAAATGGAGAAAATGTCTAGAATGAAGGAACTAATGACAAGTGGAAAGTGAGGAAATGAAAACGGCGGCAGATGTTGGGAAACTAGTGACTAACAAATTGCACGCATATGTGCGTCTAAACCCCAACGTAAATTTACAGTGAAATACGAACATATTTTTTAGCAAAAAAATTATTAGAAACCATTTGGAGTATTGTATTCCATGGGAAAGTAATCTAGGAAGGTTTTGTAAATGTTCAGCTAGAGTCCAATGCCTTTCATCTCTAATGCTCCCAAGAGATATGTAAACATATCTAATCATCCATTTGTATGTGACTGTATTGGCATATTTATGTGTGTTTATGTGTGTTTTCCCAAAAAAAAAGTGGACACTGAAATAAAACAATATATCCGATCATTTTTCATGGCATTTGTGGTAACCATCAAAGTTCCCTGTCATTCGCACACATACGCCCAAACAGCCTCATACATACATTGTCAGTACGCAGAGCAAATAAACCGCAGCCCAAGGCTCCAGATGCAAAGGAATTTTTGAAATGCAGTAATTTGCTAAATATGGAAGCGCAAAGGACAACACGATGGATGGATGTTTGGATGAATGACATGACAACCCAAAACAAAATGCTGGACTAAAGAAAGACCTTGTTAAAAGAAGGTAACTTCGATACAGTAGCAAGAAATAAAATGAGAATTCTATGCGATGTTCTTACGAATTAAAGTTTGAAAGTGGTTGAATAAATCGAAGTTTCCATTGGTGTCGACCGACTGGAAAATAACCATTTTTGTCTAAACCCAAAAAAAAGATTAATATGAGAGTAATCAATATTTTTTAGTTTTCATGAAAACTTCCCGAAGGGAAAGAATAATAACAATTGGGGTTCTTTCCCTGACATGAGAGTTATCAATATTTTCAGGGGTAGAGTATTTTAAGCCGTCATAAATTGTTTAATATTCCGCTCTGGCATTGCTATGGTGCCATTGCAATAATTCAGAAATTCAAGCATAAAATTTGTACTTTAAAAGTGCATCTACTACAATATTCACCAAGCCACATTTATTGGTGATTCCTACCACTTTGCAAAATGAGGAGTATTTTTAGTACTGAGAGCCACAAATAAATCCATATAGCTTATCGAGAAGATAAGAACAATTTGAAACAATTAGCAGTCTACTGAGAAATGCCAAAGTTTGTTTCAATTTATTTAACCGTTTGGAGCCTTCCTCACCCCTCCTTCATTCAGCCACCTTCGAAGCATATCAATTGGACCAATGACTGCACCTTCTGCCAATTTGTAAACAAACTTTACAAACTGGATTTTTTCTGTTAACCAAGACCAAATTCTTTCAACATATTTGGCTGTGTATTTAGTTTTTCTTGTTTCGTTGTAGTTGTTGTGTTTTGACGTTACCTCAGTGTGTGGGAGAGGCCAACATGCTGTTTTATTTTAGCCAAACCAAAAAAAAAAAACAAAACGACAACAACAACATGGACTGGACAGGATCCAATACAAAAACGAAGAAGAAGAAGGAAAAACAACTAAACTGGGCTTACCTACCGCAAAGTATTTTGGAGAAAAAAATCGAAAGACGAAGAAGGGCAATCGCTTGATATCAACAGAATATGGCATGTGAACCGGTTATGCTGTTGGCACAAATATGTACCCAGCAACGAACATAAACATGAGCATGAGCACATGCAAAATAAGTACCAAAATTTCAAAACAACAACAGCAACAAAATAACCGAAACTATTTCATCGAATCCTCGCCCCGCCCGCATTACGATTCGAATAATGTGAGAGTATGAACTCGCATCTTTTGGTGCCAAAATGCAATTGGGGGTCCTTTCCCACCTGCTTGAT